GAATATATTAGAGTTTTCGAAATGGAACCATCACCCAAATTTTCAGCGGTGGCTCTCTCTGTCTCTCTCCAAAATAGGATTTATGTACAGAACATCATCGAAAATTTCAAGATAGCAGTTTTTTCCATTTTTACGTTTTTGAAAATTTACGATGGCAGAGTTTGAAGGTGGAAGATGATAAAATCCCCAAAAACGCAAAAACATATATAATATTAGAACGTAAGAGTGAGAGAGACGTAAATTAACGGAGGCCCATCCGTCGTCTGTCCTCCACTTCCTTCTAAAACCATTTGAATTACTTGAATTTCAGAATTCTATTGTCCTTATCGATTCTCCAGGGCTTTTCTTCATCTGGGTGTGATCCATCGTTCTTGGCTATCGGGGCTAGGTTCAAAATTTTCTTCGATGGAGGGGATTTTGATTTCTCGGACGGATTCTCAAGGAATCGAAACTTTGGCCTCTAGGGCTTCCGATTTTCCCCAACCCTATCCGGTTTCTATTTCCGACGATTCCTCTTCCGCCGTGGTAAGCTTATGCATGTCGCTCAGTTCAATTAGGTTTTGGTCTGTTTTTCCCCTAAATATTTTGGGGTTGATTTTGTTTCTTGTCAATCTTCTGATTGCAAGGCATGTTTCTGGTTCGAGAATTAGGCAATTTTTATCTCTCTTCGCCTTAGAAGTTCTAATCGTGGCGAGACTGTAGAATCATTCAAATTTCACTTTCAGTTTTACAATAGTATGATTCAGGAAAATGGCTACTATGGTGTGCATACAATACAACTTATATGAACTGGAAAGTCGGAGCTCCAGAACTGATTTTATAAATATGTTTTCCAATTCTTATGATGATAGTGTCGTGCAGGGTTATCCAGAAGTCGATTCTTTTCGAGAGCTTAACGTGTCGTTAGGCCCCGAGTGTTTTCTGAGTGAAAAATCTGTTGAATCTAGGGAAAGTGACTCTGAGTCACTGCCAAGCATTGGAGAAATGCAAAAACCTCGTGGGAATTGCTTCTATTATGATTCGCCTTTGTTGGAAGATACTGGAGTCTGGATACCCATTTCTGTTCCACCCATGTCTGAATCTGATCATGAAGAGTGGGCCAAAGGTTTTCACTTGAATGGTGGTTGCTTCCCTGAAGAGGAATTGGGATATAGCCAGTGCTTTGGGGGAGAAAAAGAGTTGACAATGTGGGATGTGATGGTAGAAATGTTAACTGCTGCTCGTGGAAGAGTTGGTTCACTGGGTTCCATCGGTAACAATGGTTGTAGGTTGTCATGGATGTCTAGCCATATGCTGGAGCAAGCTTGGAGTGAACTGGAACATTCTCTCACTGAAGCAAATTTTGGAAATGTAAGGGAAATTCTTGAAGCAGAGCCACCCAGATGGCTGTCTGATAGTTCTGCTGCTTCTTGCATGTTATGTGGTGTGAGGTTTCATCCAATAATGTGCTCCAGGCATCACTGCCGATTTTGCGGTGGAATATTTTGTGGGGACTGCTCCAAAGGAAGGAGCTTGCTGCCTGTAAAATTTCGTGTTGCAGATCCACAACGAGTATGCGATGTATGTAATGTGCGCCTTGAATCTGTGCAACCATATTTAATGGATAAAGTGAGTAATGCTGCGCAGCTACCGACCCATGACTTGACAGACCTCAGTACATTGAGGTCATGGGTAAACTTTCCTTGGGGACAGTCAATGGAATATGAGATCTATAAAGCAACAAACACCATTCGAGCTTATAATAAGGTCAGTATTCAAGTCTCAAGTATGCCACCTGCCATCAGTTTTGGACTATGTTTCAGAAGCTGGAATATTTGACTATATTTCTCAAATAATTCAACATGTTCATTATGTTTTTTCCTCATGTTGCTCAGGTGGGTTCTCTAAAGCCTGAAAAACTAATTCCAGACGCCATTCTACGACAAGCAAAAGGCCTCGCAATTATTACTGTTGTCAAAGTGGGAGCAGTGATGACTTACAATGTAGGAACTGGTCTCGTGGTTGCACGTAGAGAAGACGGCTCGTGGTCTCCTCCATCTGCAATTTCATCATTTGGTATGGGGTGGGGGCCTCAGGTCAGTGTTTATTCTCTAAAGACTCTTGTTTAGTTCTTTAGTTTCAAGTATCAAGGAGAGAAAGATCACTAACCTAACAGTTGCTTGAATAGTTTGAGCCCAATTGCTAATGCTTTTAGTATTCTGTTTTAGATAATGCACTTCAGAAAACAAATTGGATCAATCTTCAGATAATGCATAATTTTCAAGAGGCATTTATACTGTTGAGAAGTAGATACTTGATGAAGATTGCTCTTCAAACAATTTGTGATATCCTGATCCCTTCTCCAGTGAACATCTAAACTATAATTTGGCCGTCACCTCTCTTACAGATTGGAGGAGAACTGACCGACTTCATAATTGTATTGAGGACGTGTGATGCTGTCAACACATTCAGTGGTAATGTGCATCTGGCTGTTGGGGCCGGTGTGAGTGCAGCAGTTGGAGTCATTGGAAGGACAGCTGAAGCCGACGTACGGGCTGGTGATGGTGGTTGTGGCTCCTGTTATACATATAGTTGTAGTAAAGGTTTGTTGTTCTTATCTGACATTATTTGTTTCCTACTGGTACATGTTTCTGAAGCCATTTTCTGGTATTATATGAGTAGAATACAATATTTTGGTTTGGATATTGTCAGAATTAAACCTAAGAGTTTTCTTATTGATGATAGTGACCTCCCCTTAGATTTCTTGTGCATCTCTCAATAGCTTTCTGCATCATTTGCAGGTGCGTTTGTTGGATGTTCACTTAAAGGAAGCATCGTTACCACTCGGACACGAGAAAATGCTCGGTTCTACGGCAGTCAGTCAATAACTGCCACTGACATTCTCGTTGGGGCGCTCCCAAGACCACCCGCAGCTGCCATTCTTTATAATGCTCTTGCTGATCTTTATCAGAAGATTGAGAAATGATCAAGCTCAGTTTGAAGTAAATTCATCGGTTTCTATCCATGGAATAAGAAATCTCTACAGCCTCATTCGGTTAAGCATTTGCCTTTATTAGGTACACAAACTGTATAGTTCTTCTTCACCATTATTCTTTGTCTCTGTGAATAAACTTTCACCTATTGCCTTTTACGCACATGTATAGAAAACAAGTCGAAATGGGATCTGATTATACTTATGATTTGTGTAAATACATTGGTGTTGTGGAACGGTTGCCTCCAATATGTCAAATAGTTTCTCCCTATTCCATTGGAAATTTCTGGTTATTAGATTTTTTCCCTCTTAAACTTAAGTTTTGCAATTGTCATGTAATTGGGGAGGAGGGGAAACTTGGAGCAGTAGGAGAGAACTTGACAATTGACATTCTATTGAATTGAATATGGCAATGAAATAACCCTTTCAACGACCAAGCCAGAATCTAATTTACTTTTTGGAAGGAACAAGAACGACAAATCGATTATCAAGGAAAGAATTAAACCGTAAACCGAGGGGCAAACTTTGCCAATCAAAACATACGGACATGCAGTTGAATCTTTCCCTTCCTTTTAGAGAAAGAACCAAATTTTGGAACTCGTGACTTTCTTTCACCTGCATCAGGACGACATATAGTCATCTAATAAGCAATATGGAGCAAGAGAGTCATCAGAATTTAATTTGAGAGGAGGTATCTGAGTTTACCTCGTTCTAGAATTCCCAAGTGTAAGTTCAAGATCATCTGAGATGCATTCCTCATGAATTCTCTCTCCTTCCCAAGGCTTCACCAACCCAATCGAACAACTTCCAAAGGCAAATTCCGCAGAAGTTCCATCCGTCATTGGAACATCTGAAGTATGATCAACACCTGCAGCGATCGTGGGTGAGCATGTCCCGCTGTGCGCAGGAGTCCAATTCCGAGACCCTCCGGCGGACAATGCCTCCTTAAACCCAAACGGATTCCTTGCCACAAGAGTGAAGGTTGGAGACGACGGTCCACTTTGGGGAATCCGCATACTATCAAGCCATGCCGAATCGGCCAACACCTGACGCCCGGGGCTCGGCGGGGTTGATGCAGGCAAGCATGAGAAGCACTGCGCAGCCCAAGCAGGAGCAGCAGCTGGATGATYGTCCCAATCATTCGGTTTTCTGGGTGTTCGAGCTGTCGGGGAGCTTGATGGAGGGGTGACAGGCGCACTTATGGAGCCACCAGTTAAATAAAGATTGTGGTGAGGCAGCCTGGAGGAAGCTGATGATGAACCGGAGGAGAGGTTCTTCAGCCATGGGATTAGTGAATTGGCGTCAGGAGCATTGTCATTGGCTTTAATGGCGTAACGGGAAGAAGTGGGGCTTGGGAAGGACGAAGAAGCAGGACTTGGGTTATAAGATGCACATGGGCTCGGCTGGTAAGATGAACATGGACTAGCAGATGCTGATCCGCCCATGATATTGCGCTCCACAGGCTTGCATCCCTGAAGAAATGTTAATTGATTATCTTTATCAGTTCTGAATGATAATCAACAGCAATTGGAGATAAAGAAGGCAACCCAAGTTCTTGTCATAAAAGTTTGACTAGAATAGTAGAAAGAAGAATCTATATAATTCGGACATAAGAAAGTTGAACTCCCCAACTTTAATTTAAATCATAAAAGACCGACCTATGCCAGAGAAGTATCATCGACGAATATGATGAGCAAATACAAGTGACGCCAAAAAAAACCCCACTACATGTTGTCCCCCAGCGTGTTCCCCTGTTGCCTCGTGTTAATAATGCTAAAAAGAAAACGTTATTTGTCGAAAAGGACCGAAAAGATTTGATTTTCTATAGAAAAAAGCATAGGCAGTCGAGAAGAATCGTGAATGTTTGTTTAGTCTGAAACCATGCATTGGGCTGATTGGACCGAAGATTTTCACAAATCTTGCCGGCCCAGCGCCATTATCAAGCTGTGCTCTCAATTAACTGGAAAAAAGGTGTATCTCAATGAAGGCCGGGAATCTCGGTAAGAGTGGCCATTAGTTGATTTTCGGAAAAAGATAAAGAAAGCAAACCAAAAGAAAAGGGATTTCGTAATTGCTCCATGATACTGCTATGAAATTGCAGACACTGAAATCCATCCACTGTACACCAGCATGCTAAATAAAGGAGAGAAAAAAAAAAAGATTAGTGGGTTGGTGGGTGGGTGCGGTGCAGAGAGAAACTGGTGTGGAAGCCTTCTTGCTCCTTTTGACATCAATTGCTGAGATGGGCAAAATCCAGCTTAATCATTTGAGGACAGTTAAGAGAGCTAAACTCAGTTTATCTGCATAAGCTTGAACAACAACACTCGGCGCCCAAAAAGTATGTATTTTCCAGAATTAGTCCATTGTGTTTGGATAATTAACGAAGCCGATAAGTGAGTGGTGGAGCTTGAATTAAGGAGATAAAATTGGCTTTAGTAAAGAACAAACTCATCCCTAAAAAGTAGACTTTAAGAGACAAGTGGTGGTTAATTTATATGGTTTCGAGGAGGCATTTCCTTTTGTTGGAAACACCTCTGTGTTGGCGTCTGAAAAACTCAGAGTTTTCCTCGTCGTCTTCCAACATGGACTGAACCAGAAAGAATCTCATAGTGGGCTCCAATAAAAAAGTAAAGTAGTCAACAGAATTAAAATCGAGAGCTGACCGTCGGACTCCCTAACAGGTCCGTGAATCTAAAATTCCCCTAATGGGACTAACTTACGCCCAACCCCACTTCGGGAATGCAGACAACTTCTTATTGGATTGAAATCTTTTTGGCCAAAATCATGTGTACTTAGGTCTAATCATAGAATTACGGAGAATTCCAAAAACAATTACAGTTTCATGATCAATTCCAACTGTATTTAGCACGAAGAGTTCCAATGCCCTAACACTAACATAACACCCACGGATCATATTAGCATTTAGCACCATTTCCACAAATCCGGATCCACATTGAAAGCAATTGAAGAAACAAGAAGTTAGCAGCAATCATCCGCAATTCAACCGCCCAATTCCAACAGGAAATCGAAAGGAAGAAACGAACACGCACATCCAGAAGAAAACAGAGGGATCGCGGGAGAGGGGTGAGAGAGTGCGTACCTTTCGATAGGTAGTGCCGTCCTCTTCGACAGTCCATCCAGCTTCATCGCAGAGGGCTTTGAGAACCTCGTTGTTGTCGCAGTGCTTGGGGAGCTTGTAATTGCCGTACATTCTGAGGCCGAGAAAGATCTTAGCGGCGATGGCACGGCGGCGCCGCTCACGGCGTTTGTTGTTCTCCCTCTCCTTCCAAGTTGGCATTCTCGTCCCGGACGTCATAGCTGACGGCGGCTGATCGGAGCCGGTCGAAAGGGAGGGGGAACGAAGCCGGAGAAGAAGAGGAGAAAGAAAGAATTTGGTGAACAAAAATGTGAGACCAAAATAAATAAATAAAGAAATAAAGAACCAATCAGGCGGTCGTTTTTGGGGAGAAAAAAGAGAAAAAGCGTGAGAGAGAAAGATCAGAGACGTTGGTTTCTGGAGTTTAGTACTGCGAAATTACCACATTACCATTCTTCTTCTTTTCTTTTCTCCCTCCCCATAATCACGGAGTAAACACGTGTTTACGATTTTATTTTTCCTTTTTCCCAATATAATGATTATGTATAATATAATTATGACATAAATTTATTCACGAATTCAAAAAATACAATACAAAAAGACAATTTTTTTGTTCGTCCGACAGTACGTATATATATACGCGAATTTATGGCGGAGAATTGTATACTTTTTCTTCCCATAATTTTATTTTAGTAAAAATGTCATTTTTTACCTCTAAGATGTGTCGATTTTCGTCATAATTTCTAATTCACTGCGTTTAATATTAAACTTTTGATCAATGTTGTGATTTTTATTTCTTTATTTAATTTTTGCTGCTTCACCTTCACCCACTAGTTTTTAGCATAAATACTGTAAATAATTCTAAAAACGTGCTAATTTGATGAAAATTAAGCTTTGCACACAAAATTAAGTTTGATTAGTTCACATATTCAATTAATGTCGTTTTTAATCTTATCTATTTTATAGGATAAATTTTGCAATATCTTTTAGAGTTTGAGGTGAAACTTTCCATACGTGTAGATTGATGAGATTTAAAGTTGATAGTTAAATTTAATTTTTTCTTCATTTATTTTTTTTTATAAACTAGAGTCAGCGGGATACTTATTATTTTAAATATCGCTTATTTATCTTAATGCATATTAAAAATGAATAAAATGATAGCAGGTATGTTAGGTTACAGGAGAGTATGAAATTTTAGGTAGGATAGAAATGATAATAAATTAACTGTTCTTTATCCAAATAATTTATTCAACAAATATAGTAGTAACGATGAATATTTCAACTATATAATAGATTTTACTCTTTAATTCTTTATTATATACTTTATTGTTTTGTTGTTCAATATATTCTAGCATGAGATTTATTTTATTTGGTCTAAAGTTTAAAATACAAATACTTTTTTTGTGCAAATGAATAGAATACTTTTTTTACTTTTTGAAGATAGGAATACAATACTTTTTAATCCGTCTAAAGTTCTACAAATGGCATGATGATATCCAACGTTAGTTTGTTAGTTCTACAGATGGCATGATGATATCCAACGTTAGTTTGTTAGTTCTACAGATGGTATGATGATATCCAATGTTAGTTTGTTTTAAAATTGTATGAGATAGATGAAAGTGTGACAAAACTACACCAATTACAAAAATTATTGTGAGATCATAATATTTATTTGGAGTGGTAAATCTCTTCGTCTACCACGTTTATGATTAAATAAAAGAAACTAAACCAAACACAACTCAATGAATAAGACACTTATTATTATGTCAAGTATCAATGATTCGATCTCTTATTTCGTAATTGTTAAATATATAGGAGGAATAACTTCTCCTTTTAAGAGAGGGACACAGAGAACATGAAAATATAATAATAATAATAATAATAATAATAATAATAAATCAAGAAATATATTCAACCTGAATTTTTTCAAATTATCTTATACGTATTTGTACCACTCTAAATGTATAATACTTTTTTTTCTCTGTCTTTGTTTTTTTTTTTTTAGGAAGTGTATTTCTTAAGCATGATATTTTTTATATTGTTTTGTACTTTTTGAAAGATACTTAGGCTCTTGGAAAAATAATAGTATTCCAAACTTGACTGAAAATTCACAATCATTTTAAGATATAGATTTAAACAAATAGCTGCTGAAAAAGAAAAGACTTAAACAAATAGGGTGGAGTCCTAAATTTTCATAGAAATGAGCAAAAATTTACGTTATAACTTTTTGTATGCATAATCTTTTAATTATGAAAATTTAGAGAGAAATTTTTTAAATTTTCACATTTTTATGTTTTTTTTTCCTTTAGAGACTAACCAAGAGTTGCTTCGCCCAAATATACAAAAAATATATATATAGTATGGGGAATTAAATGGATTTGCTCTCTCAAAAAAAAAAAAGGATTTACTATTATGTATTCAAGAGAAACAAAAAAAAAGATTTACATTCTATGATAGCAGACAAAATTAATAATAACACTAAATGGAAAACAAACCCAAGCATGGCACCTTCCTAAAGTATCATAACATATTTTACAATGTTTATAATATTTTAGCTTTTAGAAATATTTTAGGAAATAGATCAAATAACAAATAAAACTATAAGTGAAAGTAGTAAACTTAATTTTTAAAAACATAAAATTAAAAATAAAATTATTATTATTATGGAGGATGGGGACCTTCACTCTTAGAAGCCCAAAAAACAAAATTGTTTTTAAAGAGCCTAAATAATTAGTCATCAAAATACACTTTTAAGTATATTTAAAACTTAACCCATTTATCTATGATTTAAAATTTAAAATTTAAATAAAAAAATTTAAGAAGCAATTTATAAACTAAAAAAATTGAATTAAGTTGATGTGACCTTTTTAAAATTTACAAATCTATTAAATATAGAATTAAAATTTTAAAGTTTTACCTTAGTTTATGTCTAATAGATAAACGAAAGATGTCAAAAAAAAAAAGTCAATAGATATAAGATTGAATGTATTAGGTATAAAATTGAAAAATTTAGAAATTAATACAATACGAGTTTATTAACAAATTAAAAAAATAAATAAATAAAAGGAAAAAGAAATCCTGTAATTTACAAATAAGGGGGTGATAAAAGTTGACATCACATCCACACGATAAAATCATGAAAGAGAATAAAAACAAAAGGCGATCGCTGATTATATAATTATTTATAATTTTATTTTTCAAGGGACACCCTACCCTACGGAGGATGCCTCGAATTAGGCTCATACCCTCCGCCCCAGCATTCCATTCACGTGACTATCACGCCCTACGGAACGTCGTTTGCGTGATGAACCACAGAGGAGCCTGATAGAGCCACGTGTCCCGGTCTCCCAGAGCTTAGTGTGGTCCCGGCTGTAGGCGCCACTTTCCGCTGGCTACCCGGTTTAGTTGAAGTTATTTTTTATTTTTTACCCTCCGAGAACACGTGGCAGTAACTCGGACGTTGATCATTTGTCCGCTGGAGAAGTGATAATGACACCTGAGGTTTATATCACCGCCTAATAGTAATCCAATGCGTGTGGAGAGTGTCCCCACTCCACATGTGATGTAGTTCATTTTCCTCGATTTGGAAAGTCTTGGGTCTTTTCATCCCCCTAATTTCAATGGGGAGATATTTCTACATATGGAACTTTTTTTTTCTTCTTAATGTTTAAACATAAATTTCTTTTTTAGAGAGATATTTATGTGTTGTGTTTGGAATTTTGGAAATTAGTGTGATTTGATACATAAATCTTGCCATCCACACTTTCGTTCAATGCTAAGGATAATTTTTAAGAATACTTTATATACTATTTTTTATTTTTTTTATTTTTATTCGTTTGGATCATTTACTTCCAAAATATTCATTTTCATTCTGATTTTATATTTTTTTTAACTTTGTTTCATTCTTAGTTTTTATTCTCTTCAAAATGTTCGTTTTGTTCGTTGTAATTTTAAAAAGGGATTATTTTGATCCTTATTTGAGTTCTAAAACAAATTTCATGGCATAATGAAAACTCTTTGACGTAAAATTATGGATACATTTTAGGAAAAATATTGAATAGAGTGTCCTACTAAAGTTATGATAGAAGAAAGTGAGATAAAAAAAATCAAATGATGGGACCAGAGTGATTACTTTTTAGAGGAAGGTCTCGAAAATAAAAAAAACTAAATAGGTTAAATGATTTAAATGTACATGTACCAAAATAAATAAAAGTGGAAAATATATATATCAAAATAGTACTTTAACTAAAAATAAATAAAATCGACCTAGTGAAATATTATCTAACTATTTAAAATAGTGGTTGAAGTTATTGATAACTAGACGAATTAGTAGGAGTACCTAATGATAAAAATATAAATAAAAGCGGAAGAATTTATTTGGTATCATATTACCTATTAATAAACTTTAGTGAACATAACTTAACGGTAATTTGTATATATATCCAACTAATTGATTGTGAGTTCTATTTCTGATCCTAACTCTCAATTTCATTCCAAATATAAATAAATAAATAAATAAATATATATATAAAAGGATATTTTAATTTCATTAATTGGACATTCTACATTGTGCTCGGATAAATATTGCATTTTTTACCTTAAATTTAAACAAGCCTTGTATCCAAATATTTAAGCATTGCAAAAAATTGCAAATTTAAACAAAAATACAGCTCAAGTTTTTTTTTTTTTTTTAATCAGTTTCATACCAGTCATATATATTACAATTCATTAAAGCAATTGTTTGAACAAATTTTTAAACAAAAGTCAATTTGAAGGTAAAAATTATAAAATACGTAAGTTTAAAACAAATACTACACCACCCCTCAAAAAATAAGGTCTAAAATTAAACTTATACGTAGGGTTATTTCTAACCAAGTTAAAGAGAAAATATAAAAAATATTTGACTCCTCCACCATGAGTAAGAAACTTTATCATCCTTATGATTAGATATTTGACAATTCATTATTATTTAAAAAAAAAATCTTTTGTTTTTACTTTTCTCTGTTAGTGACAAATTTTCTCCAATAAAATTTAGAACTATAAGTTTTAAATTTTTTCATACTACTTCAATCAATTTTTTGCAACTTGTGTATAATAATCCGCATTATAATAGAAATAAAGTATATAAATAAAGTGACCCACAAGATTTTAAGAGTTAAAAATCTCAAATATAATATTCCCACCCTCTTAAATTACCTCATTTATTTCTTAATGTTATTTATATTTTCAGGATAGGACGTTTATCTTTTTATCTTTTTTGTTTTCTTTCATTTCTACATCTCCTATCTTTTTCATTTGAATTTCTTTTACAACAATCATACTTTGTTTGATACTTTATTTTTATTTGTAAGTTTATTTTCAATTAATTAATATTTATTTTTCTTATATAATGAATATTATAATTGTACTTTATTTGTTATCCATTGAGATTTATATTTTATTTATTACCCATTTAGTTAGGTTATTTTTATTTGTAACTAATATTGATTAAATAGGACAAAATAATTACCA